GGCGTAAATGCCGCCGTTGACCTCGTCCCTTTAAATTGTATGCTAAACGTTGCCAGATTGGGCAATAAAAATTTATATCTGAAGAAAGTGTTGTCGGTTCGAAATATTGAATAAACATGAACATAAAATACTTACACCTACATTTATCACAATTTTCACTTAATTAATAAAGTGTCTGTCTAAACGGGATGATAAATTAGATAACTAATGTATTAAAGTAAAATTGCTATATATGTATTAAATGTAAAATTACACATATTTAATTTTTCATTTTTTTTATTAGAGGTTTACTAAAATTTTGATTGATAGATTTTATGTAGTAGTAAATTCGCAGAATTACAAGTTATTTTATTAAATAGCTCAGTTAGAGTAAAGAATATAGAAAATATGTCATTTTAGGGATAGTAAACTTCCAAATGGTGTTACACTAGTTATGTAAATTTGAAATCGTTTTATCCATGCATTATTAATTCTGGGCGTCCACATTTTTCTATCGACATTTAAAAGAACAATTTATATTATAAAAATTGAATTTTTAAACAATTTTTATAAGAAATTTAAATTTATCTATATAAAAAGTACTTAATAATTATACAATTAATTGTTCTTCTTTAGGAAAGCGAAAAAAATGTATGTTTTTATTTTCTTTCTTGCATTTCCGATACTGATTTAGACATTCTTTGCAACTGCAAATAATTGTTAATAAAAACGCCAAAGTTTTAAAAATAAATAACTATAAATCCACTGTAAACAACTTTTTAAAACACTCCAATACAGCTAACGGCAACAATGTTTACAAAATGGCTATTATATGATTTAACGTAACGTCACTAACAGAAACCACGCGGAGATAAAATATGTTCGGAAGTATTCAGGCTTCATCGGTAATGTATTTAATTCGCAGATAAAAACCGTTCATAGGAGCAGCATCATTTTATGGGCAAAATAATCAAACATTCTATTTTACTCTACAAAATTTATATATCCTTAAAGTTTTGTATTTCATATTTATTCTGTTTATTGCCGAAATAATAGTAAACCTGAAAATATCATCTTACGTTGTCACACAGCTGTTCTGTTTGGAAATACGCATGCGTTCAGTCCCTTTAACTTGGATGTATCTCCATTCGTGTTGCACGAAATAGCCTTATCTCTCTCAGTGTCGCATATGGGTTAGATATGTGCCTATAGGCTATTTATTATAGGATTTTAAAAGGAACTATGAAGTTCAAGATATTTTATTACATAAATCGTTCAAATGGTCATTTTAGATGAAAAAACCGCGGAATGTTATTAAATTAGAGGGTGGAAATTGGAGATAGGGGTGAAAATGCTCCACTTTCACTTCTTTAATTGTAGCTCGAAAACGAAGCAAAATATCGCTACAGTTCACAGGAAAAATTTTGTAGAGATATGAATTTCTCATCGAAATAGCTTATTTAAAAAACAAAAGAAAAATTTTATGCAAAAAATCGTCAATAAACAATTTGAAAGAAAAAAGTAAAACAAGATTTTTCCTTTTTTTTACGTTTTTGACTGAATTATGTTAAAAACGACGAAAATCTAAAAAATATTTAAGTTTGACCGGTTATAACTCAGTCAATATTAGCCCAAAATCTCATCTAGTTTTTTTGGTCAGCAATTTTCTTTGCCTACTTCTAATAAAAAAAAAATTAGTCAAAAAAGTAAAAAAATAAAAAATATAATTTTTTACTTTTTTAAAATTGTTTACTAACGATTTTTTGCATACAATTTTTCTTTTAAATTTTTTAAATAAGCCATTTCGATGGAAATTTCAATTCTCTACAAATTTTTTCCTATGAACTATACCGAAATTTTACTTCGTTTTCGTGTTATATTAAAAAAACTGCAAAAGTGCATTTTCACCCCTACCTTCAATTTCAACCTTCTAATTTAATAGCACCACGTGATTTTTTAATTTTTAATGACCCTTCGAACAAGTCATGTGATGAAAATCCCTGAACGAATCCTTCCTTTTTTGCAGGTAAACGCGACGAAAATCGAAAAATTGGCTAAGTTTGAGCGGCCATATATTAGTCAATTCTCATCCAATGTACTTCTTTTTTTGAAGGAAATTTTATCTACTTTTTTTCTATGAAGCAATGCCTATACCTATCTTTATTCAAAAGAAAACTAGAGGCAAAAAAGTAAAAAAAAAATAAAAATCGAATATTTTGCTTTTTTCAAATTGTTTATTAACGATTTTTTGAATAAAATTTTCCTTTTTTTAAATTTTAATTAAGCCATTTCGATGGGAAATTCAATTCTCTAAATAATTTTTCCTATGAACTATAGCGAAATTTTGCTTCATTTTCGAGCTACAATTAAAAAACTGAAAGTAGTGCATTTTCTTTTATCTAAAATGACCCTTTCAACGATTCATGCAATAAAATTGCTTGAAAGTCATAGTTCCTTTTAACCCTGTTTTTTTTTTTTTAATATAATCAATAGCCTATTCGTCCAATAGTTGATGTTTAAAAAAATACAGTGTCAAAGTGAAAAATTTGTTTTCATTATTTATAAATTACGTTTACAAAATTACAGATATACTGAGCAACCAAATTTATGACATGCAATGTGCCGCAAGTGGCGCCCTCTAATAAGTAAATTATGATTGGATTTGGATTCGTCGCGTCAACGAACCTCCGATCTCCAAAATTTGTTATTTAAAAATCATGAAAACAAATTTTTCACCTTAACACCCTGTATCTTTTTAAGCAACAACTTTTGGACCAAGGTAAATTTGGTTAAATAGTAATATTTTGGTGTGTAGAAACCGCTGCTGCTGTATGTACCATTAATTATGCGACACCCTGTATACAGGGTGTTCATTGGTACGAACGGTCCGAAAGATGATCGTTTATTTATTTTTCAATGCAATGATTTTCTACGTCTTTTCCAGGTGTGTTTCAGAAAGTCCCGAATGTATTTCAGAATTCGTTGAAAATGTTACAAAACAAAATGTCACATTTATACCTACTTGAAATTTGAAATCAACATTCAATGAATTTTGTATTATACAAGGTGGTCTCGAAAGTAAACAGGACTTTTCAAAAATAGGTATTTCTAGTGGTAGATCTTTCACTGATGTACTGTCAAAATTTCATGACATTTGAAGGAATAGAATCGGAGTTATCGAGTTCAAGTGACTACTATCGAAATAAATTAAATAGACCCCTGAGTTTGAAAACCGATATTAAGAAAACGTAGGAGCAAAAAAATTAGAAATTTGAACCATATATACCCTCACCGTTACTCTATTGTATGCTAAAATTTCAGTTAGTTTCGTTATCCCATTTTTTAGTTATGAATAAAAATGTTGAAAAAACCAGGGTTTTCTGCCTACAAAATTTATACCTCTCACTTTAACTCGTCGTAATTTTTTTGTTAATTCATAAAAAAATTCCAAATTTTTACTGACGATAAGTCGAAATATTGTCTTTAGTACTGTGAAGGTCATTTATTTCAAAAGTTTTCCTGTTTTTTATTTTTAAGCAAAACAGAAAAATAAATATTGCACTCTTTGAAAAAAGAAAAAAACTGACCCAAGTAGTAAATAATAGCCATCAACATTCTGAAAAAATTTGTTAAAATAACACATCGGACCATTTCAAAAGAATATCATATTTATAACTGTATTATATAAAAATATAACAAAATATCAGTCGCAAACAGAAATTTTAAAACTAGTTTTCACATCTGGAAAAGGCGTAGCTCTTATGACAATTATACGATTACGTTAAAAAATAAACGAACACCCTGTATGGAACAGATCCGCTCTCAGATAATCGTGCATACATATTTACACTTCATGCTCGAGAAAACAAAAACACCCATTGCCCTGGTCTCGTGCAGCAAATGTCCATTTAAAAGTTAACGGACCAGCGTTAAATTGGTGATTAGCGCATTAATTATCGATTTAATTATATTTCTAATTACCGAATTAATTAGCTTTTCACGGGAATCGATTAGCCACATTTCAAACAAAGACCTAAATAACAAAAATAAATGTAAAAAAACCAATAGCGACCAGTGCGTATATTTTACTTTCCGAATTTTAGGGGGGTAAATAAAAAATTGCCGACTTGACCTTATCGGCAGAACCATATGGCGAAAAATAACTGAATACAGATAACATTGTTCAGGGTAATCTGGTAACATTTGTAACATAACTGATAAAGGACATAAACAACCCACAGATCGTTCTACAGTAATAAAAAATTATGTCGGCTTTTTATGTGACAAAGACAGAGATGAAGAGAAAATGAGAATGCGGTGCGCATAAGAATTTCTGACGATGCTAAAGGGTAGCCATTTTGAAGGTGACTTATCAGCGGTGTTGCTGATGATCATGGTTGAGGTTATGGCTTTACGTAAAGCTAAAACTACACGTTTAATTATTATTCTATCTTTGGAATTAACCTAGTAATAATGGATTAATAAAACACCCCTTAATTGGTTAGTTTTTTTTATTAATTTTTATTTAGTAATATTTCAAATACCGTTGACTTTGAATATATGACTTGTTGCATAAAAAATGCTTAGAATTAAACTTAGAATCAATAAATTAAGTATACTTTTTGATCTACCCTGTATATTAATATGTTAGATCAATTTTCAAATACCTGCGCAAAAAGTTCAGAAAGAATCCTACAAGCTCTCATTTTTTACTGACCCAAATAAAAGAGTTAAGGTGGGTGGACATTATAGGAAATCACCCGGTACTTGGACCTTCAAAATGGCGGCCTCATTTATTACCAACTCTTCCCTTATTCTCATTTACTCTACATCTCCGGATAAACGCTAATATGCGCACTGTTGCGACATCCACCAAAACGACCCCTCCAGTCATCGCACATTCCAACTAAAACCATCCCAAAATATTAGAACCTCAACCGCGTAATCTTGGTTAAAACAAAACAAAAAAAATCGTAATGTAACGTCCACCTTCGTGGCACATATATTTTCTCAGTCAATACCTTGTTGAGTTTAGATGGCGGTAATGGGTCTCTGAAATGGTTAGTTATATCAATGTCATTCCCTTTCATATCAATTCTTACGTCATTCGGTTGTTCGGTTTCCGTCGCTACAATAACTCCCTATAAACAATAACAGTGAGCACAACAGAGGTCTAGGTACCCTCGGAAATAGAGTGAAACAAAACAGCAAACAGTTGGAGGGTTGGCCAATTGTTTTGTTGTTGCGCGAGATCAAAGCCTGCTGAGATTATGTTGTCGTTGTGGTTCTCCTGTTGAAATTCCTTTCAATAACAGAACCAAAACATTTAATGTAACATCTTAGTTGTGTATAAATAAAAAAATTACTAATATAAAAATGAAATTAACATCGCTACCGATCAAGTTTTTTTTTGTACTGAAAAAGTCGCGTTTGCTTGGAACAAAACACCGATACAATTTATTTATAATCGCTAATGTTTTCAATTATAATTGACTGTTATGTAAGGAGACGAATGGGTAAAAATCGGGGACCTTGAAATAAATTATTAATATTAATTTCCACAGCAGGTATGATTTTGCGCAACAACAGGACTAATGATACCCTTTCACCACTGCAATTGAAGGAAATAATATGTGCGTCCCGTTCACAACTGAGATTGTGATTTGACTGTCGAAAAAATTTATTAAAAAAATTGAATATTGAACATTCACCAAGCCACACATGTCGAGACGGAGTCAGTTCAGAAAGTCAGTTCAAGGATAGTTCAGAAATTCCCCGAATAGAAACGAGAAAATGTCAAGCTAAAAAGCGTGCTGAAACTAAGGTTTCTGTTTGGCAATTATTGCTCTTGTAAGTTATCTGCTAAGTATTCGAACAGTCAAAGCAAAACAAACCAAATTATTTGTACGGCTTCAGAAAAAATCTACGCTAAAAATTAAAATCTGAATTACTTCCTTTTATTCAAGTTTTCCTGAAGGTCGGTAAGTTATCTCAAAAACTGAATAGTCTCCTCACTCAGATCTTTTGTGGGATAAATGTAAACTCGAGTTTCGATCTTTGCTACGTGCCATCAGTTTAGCCCGATTTGCTTCAAAGAGAAAGTGGATGCCGATCGGTATGCTAATTAAAGTAACTGACCTTTGTCAATATCGACAAGGCATTTAGTTTGGTTTGCTAAGTCTAAAATCAGAACTTTTACCTTGAACACAACGAACGGAAATAATTCAGAATGTGAGATGAAACCGTAGGAAATATCATTTGTTACGATGTATGAGGAATTCTGTAGATTAGAGTATATACCTACAGTCCAACGATAAATAACATAAAGCATATATAAGAAAAATAATCTTTCGCGAAACTAAAGAAATTCTAAGGATGACTATATAAGAAACAAACTTATCTATTTTGGAATTTGTACCGTTAGCTTTCAAATTCTGCATAATCTGTGTATGTATAGGGTGAATCTTAAATGTGTAGTCCAGTGCGTCATTTTTCAAAATTACAAATATTTACGCGTGTGTACTATACAGGGTGTGTCAAACTCGAGTGTTTGCCTCATTTTTTAAGTTTGGTTATTGTTATCATCACTTTTGTTTTAACTGTATTAAAGAATTATCGAGTTTAATCCTTTTATTTATTCTTAATGACATTTATGCACTAAACAACGAAAACATTCAATTATTTTCCAACGACTACTTGATCCTTCCACCGCTAATGTGATTTTTAGGTGACATTTCTTTTGAGAATCTTTAGGACGATATTGCTTATAACTTTCAAACGGGAAGTAATACAGAAAAATTTCTCTAATAAAAAACTTCGTGAATAATGATCGTATCGAGAAAAAAGAAGCATCTTGAAGCTTGATTCTAGTTTTGAAATCTCGAAATAAAACATTTTTTTTTCAAATTTTTTTTTTCGACATTTGATGAGTTTTTAAAGCGAAATTGTGAAAAAAATAGCACAAAAAATTTGTTTCATCTTAACCATTAATTGATGTTTAAGGAGCAATAAACCTGTTCGTTTAATTTTTTATAAAACTTGATTCAGGAAACGAAAACGATTCGACCGATCGATTTCAAAATTGTATTAAGCTAAAAAGAAAACATACAAACATTGGTACTTTTCGCAATATTTGCAAAATAGTCGTTGATTTTCCAAAATAGCAGAAAAAATCAATTTTTTTGCTCTTTTTCAAATTAATGCGTATAAAAAAAAATCTCAAACATACTTGATCCAGGTTTCGAAAACCCATCTTCTGTTTGCTGTATGATCAATAGTTGAAAAGAAATTTCTTTTATTTCTCCTTGAATTCAAAAACCAACATTGCAAAAAATGTCTACAGCTGCTACAGATTGTTTAAAATATTGTATATATTACATTTGACATTACAAAAAAGAACATTTATTAACGTTTGGCTCTATTTACCGGCAAATATTTTTGGTTTCGCATCTCGTATGTATTTAAAAACATTCTTAGACTAAAAGTTGTTACTTTTGGTGAGCTAAATGCATGGTTAAAATGTATACATTGAGATTCACCCTGTGACCATCGAAAACTCTTTTATTTCTCTCCTTTTACTGGATTTAATAAAAAATCCTATTAATTTTATATGAAATCTAAACTAGAGTATGAAATAGCAAAATTACCAATACTGGTATAGTTCATTTCACAAATATAAGAGACAAAACTACACACACACATCATTTTGAAAATGACCTCTATTTAGGCGTAGACTTCAACTACGTCTAGATGCACGAATTTGGTTTGTTTTTGCGAAAGCCACCCGCCCTCAAATGAACCCCCTCCCCGGGAAAGGATGTGAACGTCACGACACGTCAAACTGACACGCTGAGGGGACATGCATTGAAAAAACATTAAAAAAAAAACAGTCATGGGAGCGTCTCTGCGTTGCGTGCAAGCGCGTGTCCCTGTCCAGTTCGAACTGACCTTGATCCTTCTGGCTAGTTGGCGTTTGCGCCACGGCCTCTGGAGGAGGACGTAGACGGGGAAAGTGATGACGTCGTAGAGGAAGGCCAGCGCTTTGAGGGCCCCAATGGCCAGCGTGAAGCCAACGCCATCCATTTCCCTGGAAAAAAAACATTGATTTAGTACCCACGTAATTTAATTATAAATCAGACGTTGCAAATTAGTAGATCATTGATAAAAGGCCTGAGCTCTGATCTGTGACGTCATCTAGATTTCTGGCATCGTAGAACATTGATTGACTTCACTTGATGAGAATTTTTGGAAAAAAAATTCTGAATTTGTTTGGATTAACTTCAAAATAGAGTAAAACATATCCTTCTGTCCTATAATCTAGTATTTTTTTGTGAAATACTGTAAACATAAGTCGTAGTAGCACAGAAAAGAAGAAATCTAGTCCTTTTTACATTTAACCTACCTAAAGTGCAGCCAATTTTGTATTATTGAGATATTTTTTTCTTGCAATGCGAAATCAAATCCTGTGAATTATTCTCGAATTATTTATCGATTTGTCTTGTTTTTAATTAATACCAAAAGCAAAAATTTTGTGTCTCTTCGAAGGAAATGAGCCCAAAAAAATGCTTTAGTCATAACCCTAACCCCGGAATAGTAATTTGAAAATGGGCTTTTTTGCAAAAATGGGATAAATAAATGGAATTTTGCAAAAACTATTTGACCGTTCCAGCCCATCTTTTGCACATCTCTTAAAGATATAAAAACTCACATTTTGGGACAATTTGGTAAGATTTTTTGTTAATTATTTAAAAAGTTATTAACAATTAAAGAATAAGCACTTTTTCCGTTTAATTTTTTGCAATAAATTTTTTGTTTATAAAGCAATTTTAACTTATAAAGTTTCATTCTAAAAATGAGTTTCTCTAGATCAAATCGTCTGTTGAACATTTTTTGCAAGATTAATAGTTTTTTTACAATAACGCGTAGAACGAAAAATGACGAATTTTTCACTTATTTGTTGATAAAAAGACAATGACGCTATACTTTTTTCATGACCCACTTGATGAGACGCCTCTTGTATTATCATTCCCAAGACTTTCCAATAATAAAATCAGGCCCAGTAATTATAGTCCAGTTACTCAGGGTTTTTACCTCCGAATTCTTTATAACTAAACCGATTGACGTGAAATTTTGATTGAATGTGGGGAATGCCTCAAGGAACAAAACTTATATAGTGCCGTAGTGTGCTTTTGCCCTGGGGGCGGTTCCCACCCCTTCTTGGGGATGGAAATTTTTACGCCCAAAATAACCACAGGAATCGATAGATGAGTCAATTTTATGTAACAAATGTTACATAAAGTTTTTTGGATAATCCAATACTTTCCGAGTAATTCATCATTGAAAATGTAGATTTTTTACTGAAAAAGTGCTTGTTTTCGGACAGTTTTTTGCAAATAACTCTGAAACCATTGGATTTAACGAAAAAGTTGTAATGAACAAAAAGAAAGGTAATAAAAAAACAAATCTAATGGCATTATTTTGTTCTTCTCTAATTGCAATATAAACCGAGTTATGGATTTTTAAACATTATTATATGTTAGCTAAATTCTAAATTGGAACCAATTAACGTTAAATAACGCCAAAACCATAAATATTAGGAAAAAAACTATTTGTACCTTTTTTAAAGTACTTTGAAAAACCTTTAAAATGAGCTGTTTTAAAAGTCTTTAGAATCAAAATTAACGGAAATATGATCGAAATAACATGATAGTCTCATTTTTTTTAAGAAAAAATTAATAAACAAATCTGTGCCTTTGGCGACAGAATTAAAATTAAATGCAATCCATTTACATATTTCTTCATTTATGTTCTAAGAATATGTTCTGGGTCTTTGGTTCACTTACAAAGCATGATTTCGAAAAAAAAAACTTGTTAATTTTTCAAATTTCTAAAAAAAAATCGATTTTTACGCTGTAACTTAAAAATTAAAAGGTGTACGAAAAAAATACAAGAGTAAGAAAATTTAGCTTTATTTTTGCTGAAGATTTTGCTTAATTTTTGTATTCCTCTAAAATTAATATTAATCGAGATATCGCCATTTTAAGTTATCATATAATAATAATATAATAAAAATAAGCACGTGTATAGGTGATAATTTTAGGAAAATTTAGGTCAAACAACAATTTTGAAGCATTTAGATCTTTTTTGTATATATACGTATTTAGTATGTGTATATTCGAATAAACCAGTACTATACTATATTATAACTACTATATTATAATAAGGCAATAAATGTTTATTTAATACGAATATATATTTAAAATGTTTCTACTCTTTCAATAATATTTTTTCACTTTTTTAAGGGTTAAAAAGTTGCAATCGATAAAAAGGATTTTTTAATCAAGAAATTTTAATTTGATAAAAATGCATGATTAAAACGTTTCAAGTTGAAAATTTTTTTTATATTATTTTCATCCAAAGGGGTGGTTTTTAAAGTTTTTCCGGGTTGAAAATTGGGGATACATTAAGTTTCATGTTAGATAGCACATGAAATTACTCATACTGCACAAATGGAAAAGATTTGATTACATAAAATACTTTTTATATTTTTTCTTTTTTCTCCAATAAGGGGTGGTTTTCCCCCTTAAGAACAAAAAGCACACCTAGCGCATATATAAGTTTTGAATTGGGCGGTAAGATGAGCCTAATTCTAAATTTTGAGAACAATCGATGCAGTTATAAAAAATTCGGAGGTATTACTATATTTTCAGCTACAGTAACTGGGCTATTAATAAATTTCAAAATGTTTCCTTTCCTGGTCTACGAACGGTGTGCGGAGGTTCTGGCTCAACAATCTTCTCTACAACAGCTTTTTCCTGCTTTTGCTATTTTCTGTTCTAATTCTCAAACAATCGTACTTTTTTTTGGCCACAAATTTTCCTTTCTACCGACTTTCTTCTTAATCTGACATTTTATACGTTAAAGCAATCAGCTGCTAAATGCGACACATTAAATTATTGGTTAATTCTTAAGACTATGTTCCATTTTAATTTATTAAGCGCTTAACACGCTCATTGGCAAAAAAAAAACAAACAAAAAAAATCCACTTTTAAATGGAATCATACTTTTGAGTTGTCACTAAATAATACCCAATGACGTTCCTTATCACTGTTGTCATCCTCGATAACATTATATATCAAGGGGAAAACATGCACATAAGGCCTACATTGCATCACCTTCCTTACAGTTATATTGCCTGCTACAAATTATGAAAAATTACCTGTGAAACTTTATCTAGAAAGGTAATCCCCTTATAGTTACGTTCAAACAATAATCGAAGATAACAGCTTACGATTCATGACTTTCACTGAGAATTTTCCGATGACATGCGATATTACCATTGTTATTTACGATTAATACACACAACTTATTATAAAAATGTTACCTGGGCTATAAAAGTATCATTGTTGTTATATATAGGTTGGTATTTAAAATATTCTTTTATTTTTATATTTATTGTTATTTATCGTTATTTATTAGTTAGTCAACTGTATGACCAAACAGCGTTGTAAAAGGATACTAATAGATAAACCGATTAAGACTTTTAAAGGTGCTGACAAAGTATGGCCAAAATTTATGCAATATGTAGATAAAAGTCAATGACAGTTTAATAGATATGGAAATGTTCACACGTACTTAGGATTCAAATAGATTCGAGAAGTAACACAAACAGGAGGTAATTAACCTCCAATCATTGATTTTACATGTAATTTATTATACGTACATGCACAGGGTGTTTCGTTTTGCAGGTTATAGGGTGTCCCAAAGGTAACCCAGGATTTATATAGTGCCCCATTTTCAATCCGAAGAATTGGCAGCATTACGCAGGGTTACCCGTTCTAGTAAACATGTTGTAGACGCTATACGATAGATGAGCAAGTGAGGATTGTGAAAATTCATTAGAAGTACGAAGAGTGTGTAGGTGAGGCTGTGCGCAAATTACGTGGAATTTTCGATAGAAGGACCGTGCCGAATGAAACATCTGTTCAAAGATTCTTAGTGAGTATGTGTTCTTTATTGAGAATGAGGGTGACTCAATGGAGAATGACATCGAGAGATGATATTGAACTTTTTGTGGCCTCATGGATTTGGATGAGATGTGGTCCTAGCAGGACGGTCATTAATGCCAATGTCTATCCTTTCAAAACACGTTTGCCAACTTTTTAATTAATAAAATCACACACTTTATATAGAAGAAAAGTCAGTAGTGTTATTTCCAATAGAACACCATATTTCACGTCTATGAAAAAATTCCGTAACTAGAAACCATTTTGATTCAAAACTGGCACCTTTGGAATATTTGTACAGTAAAAATCTGCTCAATTCTCGACTACTGTGTAGGTGATAATAATTGACGTTAACTTATTGCTAGGACTACAAAGGTCACCACAACAATAGAAAATATAAAACTTTATGTACCTATATAAAAATCTCATATTGTCTTACATATTTATGAGTCACTCCTTTCATAGTCGGACTGACCAGGCCAGAGGGGGCCATTTTGAAAGGAATATACCAAAGGTCTAAAATTTCCGGAAAAACTGCAAATTTCCGGAAAAACTGCAAATTTCCGGAAAACTGCACGGTGAAAATTAGGAAAAATTGAGCTTCTGTTACAATTCAGGATATAGAATTCTAGTCACTTTGCTTGCCAATATAAATTTTATCGTATTTTATAAAAAATAAACAAGAAATTATTTTCATAAACAAATCACAGACCATCTCCACTTTCAGAATAAAATACAATTTTGAATATGTTCAGCACAACCGAGAGCATGTCGCTCTTGAATCAAATTCGAAAGAATCAGGTACATACAGGGTCGGAAAGTACCGATGGTCCATCTGCCGTTAGGTGAGAGCGATAAAGTAAGTCATAGAAATCCGTGCGATATAGAAAGATGGCTATAATGAAGGCTTCTAATAGTCACCGCCCATTTCGCCCTTCCATAAATAAGAAGTGGATCTCATTTGTGGAAGGGCGAAACGGGCGGTGACTATGAGACTCCTTCATTATAGCCATCCTTCTCTATCGCATGGATTTCTATGTCTTACTTTATCGCTCTCAATATACAAATGAGCTGGAGAAGG